CCATAATTTCAAGCAGCTTTGCAAATGACGACTCGTTTTCTCTCCATTTATACCAAAAATCAAAATGTGCATGAACAAGAAATCAATTAAGTTTTAATTTTTATTATTGTTTAACTATTAGAATAAAATTTATAAGTATTATAGTCATATTTATAATTTCACTAATTCATCTTTACTTCTTAAAATACCTAGTAATTTTAAAGAATATGGACTACTTCACTTTTATGTTGTATAGCTTGGAGCAGGTTTGCACACAACGATGCACCTTCTTAATATCTGTAACAAAAATAAAATGAATATATGAGAAAAAAAAAAGTTTGAAACTTTTAATTAGTATTATTTATTTTTAATTCTTATTAAAATATTAGAATAATTTATAAATTCCCCAATTCATCTGTGCTTCTAAAAGTATCTAATAATATTTTTAAAAAGTAAATGAATTGATTGTATACTAGATCCTATGTCGCTGCACTTGAACTTTGAGCAAGTATAAGTACACTTGCAAAGATTATTTGGGATAGATTTTCCATGTTTGCATTTTCCGATACAGAGCGTTGCACACCAAAGAGGTCGAGTAACATGACGTTTAGGGTAACATTCTCCGAAGCATTCGTCCAATGCCCGATGATGAGCCGACAACCATTTTTCTTCTTCCCCTTTTGCTGATAACATAAACACGGTCACTTTCTTCATCATCTTTTTCTTCTTTTCTTTTCTTTTCATTTTTCATTTATTTTTTTTTATTCTCCCATGCAATACTCAACATCCAAATAAATAAAAATGACAACAAAGGTGATGATATAATAATAATAATATAATAACAAAAATAATATAATTTTGTAACTATGGATATTTTGAATGTTCCAATTATTAACCATCATTATTATTATTATTTATTTGTTTATTTTAGCATTATCATATTTTCTTGAACAAGCAAATTTTAGGGTATGAAAAATTAAAACTTAATTCTTTTTATATATATATAAATTTTTTTTTAATTGTTTTAGTTAGAACTATAATAGATTAGTTTTTTCAGCCCATAGACTCTAGGACTGAGAATTATAAATTAAACTGTAACTAGTATGTTCTGATAGAAATAAATTAAATAAATAAATAGAGTCAGAACAAAATTCTATTTATATCTGCTAATTATATATATAAATAATTTTTTTTAATCCGATCAAAATAAAGTTTTAAAAATAAAAATAAAAAAATCGATTCTTTCCTGAATCTAAGCGATCTTTTCATAGGTGATTAAATCGGGGGAATCGAATTGATTATAAAAACGTGAGTTTATATAATCGATTGATTAGCGAACAAGGAAAAATGTTCATAAAAATCTCTCAATTCATTGAAATAGATC